GGCTCCAGGCTCTGAGCTATCAGCACAGAGCCTGACGCGGGGCTAGAACTCACGATCTGTGAGTTCATGACCTGAGCTGAAGTTGGATGCTCAACCGAATGAGCCACCCAGGCACCCCAAGAATTTCTTAATAATTTGAGATGGTATAGGACTTCATAAATAAAACCCTGAAGTACAGAACATAAGGTAAAGAAGTCATGAATTTTACTACATCAAAGTTGAGACTTTCAATTCAATGAATGACACTACAGACAAAGTTAACAGACAGATGCTAGACTAAGAGAAGATATTTGCAATGTCTAAAACTGACAAGGAATTAATATCTAGAATGACTAAGAAACTTTGGTAAATTAACAAAGAGAAACACAGAAAACACAACAGAAAAAAAAAAGGGCAAAGCATATTCATAGAATGGACAACTCACTGAAAGAGAACCTGGATTGGCTAACAAGCATATGAAGAGAGGCTAGATCTTGCTTGTATTCAGAGAAATACAAATTAAAATAACCACGAGATACCAAGTTATGCTCATCCAAATGACAAAAATTCAAAAGATAACACCAGGTGTGCATAAGCATGTGGGGGGAAAAAATCCTCAGCATCGCTGACGGGAGTGTAAGATGGTATAGCTTTTTGAAGAGCAATAAGATGGCAGTTATTGATAATAACAATGTATACATTCCTACAACCGAGCACCTCACTCCTGAGTTTGTGTCCTGGGAAACCTCTCTGTGGTTCTAAAATGGGATGCTTATAAAAATATTTATCACAGAATCATTTGTTTATCACAGAATTCATTTGTGTAAGGGATTGGAGGCAAACTAGGTGTCCATCAGTGGGGAAATACACATGTAAAGTGTAGTGAATGCATACTAACAAGGATTAGAAGCCATAAAATAGTTGTGCATATACCAAAGAGATCTTGAAAACATTCTTGTGAAAAAAATAATAGAATAGCCCAGTAACATTTACATCAACTTACACACACACACACCAAAAACTGTCTATTGTATCAATGTATCAATGTATTTATATCTATCTATCTACACACACAGCAACTATCTATCTATCGTATCTATGTATTTATGTATGTGTGTATCTGTATATCTTTATATCTATCTATCTATCTATCTGTCTACCTATCTCCTGGACTTACATCAGATACATTATAGAAGGTTCCTGTGAGGGGATAAGAATGAGAATGGAGATTTGGGTGAAGGAAAGTAATAAAATAAAAGGAGGGACTTTATATGGACTAATGATAATATTTCATCATTAATTGAGGGGTATGATTAACTCAGCTCTCTATACCTGAGTTCCAAACAACAACAACAACAACAACAAAAATATGTTTAAGTGTTAGGAGAAGGGAGACAATAACCTCAACCAGGGAAATCAGAGAAGTCTTTTTAAAAGAGGTCAGATTTGAGCTGAGCTTTGAATGGTAGATAGAGCCTTGGTAGAGAGTTCTGGAAAAGAGGGGTATATTTGGCAAGGAAACCACTTGGTCGAAGCCAGGCGGTGAGAGAGTACAGGATGGATTTAAGTATCAGCAAAGAGACTTATGCCTGGAGTCTAGTCCGGGAAAGAGTGTTTAGTGGAAAGCGTGCAAAGGTAGTTGGGATCTGAATGGTGAAAAAGTTTTCAATGTCTGGTTAAGGAGTAAGGGTTTTATTTTGAAAGTAATAGGGAGTGATTTACACTTTTCAAACAGAAAAGCAATAGGATCAGATCTAGGAAGATTACTGTCAAGAGTGGCAGATGGCAGCAATGTTTGGATGCAGAGAGAACTCCAGAGATTATTGTCATTATCCAGGTGACAGCCAATAAAGGACTGAGCTAGGATTGGTTATTGGTCCCTAAGGGGATCAATAAGAGGGTGTAGACATGAACTTGAGAAATTGATGGGACCTGAGAAATAAGAGTGATGTCTCATCTTTATAGAGGATGTAGTAGAAGCTTTAGGAGGTGGATAAAATCACCAAGAGGTGACCAAGCAAGCACCTTTGGGCAGAATGGAAGGGACCAGTGAAGAGGACTGACATGATGAAAGACTGAAGGACCCACAGTACCGTGCAATGAAAGCCAAAGAGATGGTCCCAGAAGGGAAAAGAGTGTTCAGCAAAGACTAACACTGCAAAGAAGGTCTATGGGATCAGAATTTAGCAGAGGTCACTGGTTACTTTCCGGAGAGTACTTTCAAGAGGGAGTTGCTGATAGGCCCAGATTGCCAGGGGTTGGGAAGGGTGGTAAGAGAGGAAGTGGAGGCAGTGAGTGTTGTCTGGTGTATCAAGAAGTTTGTTCTGGGAGGACACAGTGGTGTAGAGGTCCCTGGGCAAGGGGTGGGAAGAAAGACTTTTGTTTTACTTTTGAGTATCAGGTAGATCAGAGCGTGTTTTAAAGACTATAAGAAAGCAACCAGTCCAGAAGATATAAGAGGGAGGAAGGGTAGTTACTAGAATAGGATCCTAAGGGATAGGAGGGCCCCTGTGAGCCTTGGAGCAGCCTATCTGGCAATGTTTATTGAAAGCCAGCCTTGCTATATACCTTGATTTACATCTTTCCCCTAATCATGCCCCTTCACCTTGCCTTTGAGGGGTCTTCTCTCTTACATATGGCCTTACTAGAGCTCCCCTCCCATTTTACCCCCTCACTTTCTTTTCTTCTCCTGGGTTCCAGAGAATGGTTGCAACTGGACTAAACAAACCTCTCTTTGTCAGTCAGCAAGTCAAGTGAAGCAATTAGCTTCTGGGTTCTCAAGCTGAAGGACCTGAAACACTCAAAGCCTTGAAGGGGAAAGAAAGTACTTGAAGGTTTGTTTACCACTCAGCTTTAGGGGACAATAGTTGTTACTCTCAGCTATGACAGGCTTCACTGGGGACTTTATCTCTATCAAATCCTCTGTTAAGTTTTTCTGAAACATTGCCAGCACCAGATCTAGAAACTTTTCAAATCCTCACAAAACTAGAGAATGGAAAAAAAAAAAAAAGCGGTGATGGATGGTGGGGTAAGGGGGACATGGGCCTCTTTCCCTGTTAACCTCCCCAGATCAGGCCCCTGGACTGGCCAACAGCTTTTTAATCTCTCTTTTTTCTACCCCAGGTCCTAGGGTTTGGCTAGTTTTGCTTTCTTTTCCAGTTGCCACTTCCTCCCTCCCCAATTTCCCATCCAGATTACTTCTCAGAATAGTTTCCTGATTTATCCCTAGCTCTGCTTTCCCTGGGAAGCAGATCAATGCTTTAAGTCATTTAAAGTGCTTTAATTGCTACTATCACTAAGGGAATAGTTGTGCAATATAACAAAAATGTAAATGACACTATGGAAGTGGGGAAGGTACAGTGAGCTGTGTACTTGTAAGCTACCTGCCTCCCTCCTTATATAACATGCCATTGACTCTGCATCAGCTGAAACCACCGCCCTTTGAGCTGGATACTAGACCCAACTACAAGGTCTTCAGTCTGTGGTACATGTGGCATGGCATTGCCAACAGTGGATTTTCTCCACCTGTGCCTCTCCAGGTTGTGCTCTCTGGCCCCAGATTTTGTGTTGACAACACTGACTCAAGTACTAAATGCTATCCATCATTCATATCTTATAGCTAGTTCAGACTTCTCACTTTGAGCAAAGCCAACTTTCCCAATAAATCATCTGTTTATCAGGAATTGCTAGCTCCCTTCTGGAGCACTCTCCAGCCAGGACCCCAAGATCAGCTATGTCAACAAGGCTCTCATGTCTTCCAATTGGACCTATCCCTCCCCCTCGCCCCCATCTTCACCCCCATTACTTCTGATGTATGTACCAGAGCCAAACCCTGGAAAACCCCACTGCCTGCTTTGCCAGCTCCTACTCTTGGACTGCCAAGTATTGTTTGAGGAGGCCTCCCTGACAAAAATGTTCTCTAGTGTCAGCACAGTTCTTGGGGCTGCTTGGCAACCCTTCAAACTTTTCTAACAGCTGACTTCCTACCCATAGCATCTCCTCCTGGGCTGTTCCAGTCATCCTCAGCCTCAACTACCTTCATTCTTATATAACCTCACTTCCTATGTTTATTGGGAAAACGGAGTTCAATTTGAAACGGACTTTCTCCACTCTCCTCTTACTTAGCAAAACTTGTCCTGGGTTTGTTTGTTTTTTTGGGGTTTGTTTTTGTTTGTTTGTTTGTTTGCATCCTTCTCCACTGTCTACTTTGGAGGACTAAAAGGCCCCCCTCTATTTCTAAGACAAACTTACCAACATTCTTTGGTTGAGTTCAGAATCATATCCTTCCTGCCTTCCTCCGCCTTATGATAATACTCGTGTGTACATAACTCAATCTTTCTTTTTTTTAATTTTTTAAAGTTTATTTTGAGAGAGAGAGAGAGAGAGAGAGAGAGAGAGAGAGACAGAGAGCATGAGCAGGGGAGGGGCAGAGAGAGAGAGAGAGAGAATCCCAAGCAGGCTCTGCACTAACAGCGCAGAGCCCAATGTGGGGCTCGAACCCACCACCCATGAGATCATGGCCGGAGCCAAAATCAAGAATCAGACACTTAACTGACCGAGCCACCCAGGCTCCTTCATAACTCATCCTTCTGACTCAGAGTGAGCCCTCAAGAGCAAGGTCCATATTACATTTCTTTCTATGTTCCCAACATGTAGTATTGTGGCTGACATATAGGAAGTGCTCAACAACTGTTTACTAAATTGAAGAGTTGTGAAGGGACTAATTAGAATGACTTGAGTTCTTTGCACTTTGTGCAGATACTTAATGGGTTAATGAGGGTGCCACCGGACAGCAAGAAAAATGAAGGGAAGAATCAAGAGGGCTCAATAAGTTCCAGAACCAGGGTTTTTCATGGAGTTATATAGCGTCATGGTGGGAATATTTTATGTAGAATTGACCTGTCACTTTATAAAGGGAGTAGTGGAAAGAGCACTAGAGTGGGAATAAGAAGGTCTGGCTGTGCCACTCATAAGCTGTGTGGCCATGGACAAGTTAATTAACCTCTGGGCCTCAATTACTTTCTCTAGTACATTGAGGACGAGGTTATTACAAACATTAAATGAAGTTGTGGATGTGAAAACACTTTGAAATCTGAACCCCCTCTCCAATGCAAGTTGGTAACTCTTATTCTTGATATCACTATGACCCTGGAGCTTCTACTTTTCATCTACACCACAGCCACCATCACCCCTACAACCCATCTTTCCTGCGGCAACAGAAGCTAGATTTTATCTCAGCCTCTAACTGTCCATCACGTAAAAGGGAAAGATATCAGAATTGTGGAGCCCCCACTTTCAACACCCCCTTGCCATCTCCTTTTTGGCCTGTATGTATCTGCGTGGATGACTTCACTTGTCTATGGGTACTATTGCATACAGTTGGTGGGGAAGATGTATATCATCCCATCTTCTGAAATTCAAATCCATGGCTGACTGAGAGCTATATGGTGGACTATGCTGGAATACCAACAGGCCCTACCATTTTCACAGACTCCTGCGCCTGTGGGCCTGTATATTTGGGTTGGAATGTGTATCTCTTTATCTGCATGGGTGTGGCTATGAATATGGGGTGTGGGTCTTTGAGGGAACTGCACTGAGAGTATGTGAGTAAGTTGTTCCTCTCCCTTCGATGCCCCTCCCTCCCCTTTCAGAGCTCCCTGAACCCTTTGGCATGGGTCCTGACAGGGAATTTCTTTGATCCTACCTTTCTTTTATTCTCCTTCTGTTTAAGGAGCAGTAGTTGGTTACTCCACATTCCCTCCTACTCCCAAAACTTGATGGCTTCTCGTCAAAGACTTGGGGAAGCCAACATCGATCCAGAGGCAATCAGCTCACACCAGCTCAGTATTGGAGCAAAGGTTGTGCAGAATATCAATGATGGGTAATTTATTATGTTGGAGAAAAAATGCCACATGTATTCCTTGTCTAATGGAATAGATACGCTGCAGCAAGAATTGCTGGCAAGTGAAATTCTGGCAAATCCTCTTTCACTTTGATTTTTATTATAAAACCATGGCTATGTTTTACTGGAAAAACTAAAAGAAAAAATTTGGCTTTGGGCTGTAATTAAACCACATATTTTAAAATAAACCACATTTTTAAAACTACAATAATAAGGTGATAGTGCAGGTCCAATCATTTTTAAACTGTAATTAGAATCCTGTGCAAGACAGTCAATCTGCCCCCACCTTTATCAGCTTTAAATTCTCATATCATTCAAATTTTTTTCCTACTGAAACCTCCTCCTCATGGCTTTATTATTTCATAGCTTACTGCCTTATAAACCTGGCAAATGGGAAGGGGGGTTGAAAATTGGAAGTTTGATTATTAGAGTATATTTCCCCCAAAGCAGAGCTTTGTCAGTAGAATGAACTCTCAGCCCCTTTCACATACATTGTCTTAACTGATGCCCAAGGCAACCAAGGAAACAGGTGAGGCATGTAATATCCCCATTTTGCTGATGAGAAAACTAAGGTATAGAGGTGAATTGGCTTTCTCAAGATCATGCAGTTAGAAAGTTAGAACAGGGAATAGAACCCAAATCTTAAGGTTCTGCTGTAACCAGGCAATGGCAATATCAATCCAAGTTTACCAGAAGGCTTTCTTTTATTTCTTATTTTTTTATTTTTATTTTTTGAGGGAGGCCAGCAAAGGGAGACAGAGAGAGAGAATCCTAAGCAGACTTCTCCACACCCAGTGCAGAGCCTGATGCAGGGCTCACCTCAGGGCTCGATGTGGGGTTTGACATGGGGCTTGATCTCACAACCATGAGATCATGATCTGAGCTGAAATCAAGAGTCAGATGCTTATCTGACTGAGCTACCCAGGCACCCCTACCAGAAGGCTTTTTTAACGGGCCTGTGCCATCAAATCATACACAAGTTGTCTTCTAAATTCTAAGAAGGAAACCAATATTATGGCAAATTCAGTATTTCAATTTTTCCAACTCTTATATCAGTTTTAGATTAAATTCATCCCGGGGCGCCTGGGTGGCTCAGTTGGTTAAGCAGCCGACTTTGGCTCAGGTCATGATCTCGCGGTCCGTGAGTTCAAGCCCAGCGTTAGGCTCTGTGCTGACCGCTCAGAGCCTGGAGCCTGTTTCAGATTCTGTGTCTCCCTCTCTCTCTCTGACCCTCCCCTGTTCATGCTCTGTCTCTCTCTGTCTCAAAAATAAATAAACGTTAAAAAAAATTTAAAAAAATCATCCCAAGTAGAGCTGTATTTATTTTCTCATGCAGTCCAGAAACTCAGTTTATGCTTTGTAGTACAGCGGGGCTCTTTGTATAGATTGCATGCCCATTCAAAGGGGTGTGGTGGCTCATTCAACTATCTGTAATGGTTACAGAAGTGGTTTTTCTGTTTTTTATTTTTATGGTCAATGGTCATATTTATAGTGTTATTTGATTTTTGGTTCTTATACTTCCCAATTACAATATTGACACAAAAGGAAAGTTTGGTCTGGTTTTGGATGTAGTTTTATGAATATGTTGTAGACAACAGGGAGACCTGAAAATTCTTCATCATCTTATTTGCTTCTATATAGCAGACACCTCTGCTTCATCCTATTTTAACAATTATTGGTGTTCCCCAGGGGCAAGGGAAAATATGTTTAAAAACAAAATTCTCCAATTTCTGCTCAGCACAATGATCATCAAATTAGTATACTGTTCCTGTAATCTGTTTTCTGTCCTTAATATGCTAGCATTAGGGACTCATAGCACATCAGAATTTGTCTACAAGAGCCTAGAAAACTGTCCATTGCCCACAGACCAATTAAAGAAGCCATTTTAACTGTAGAAATGGGAGAAGGAGAAGGAAGAGAAGAAGGAAGAGGGGGAGGAAGAGGGAGGAAATTCAACAAAAAGAAATCTCCCATCTTTTTAAGTTCTGGGGAGTATCATTCCTTCAAATGCCTGTTATGACTTAATTTATTAATTCCACTAAATGAATTTCTATTAAATATTACTTGTTCCAGTGAAAAGATTGGGTAAATTGAGATCAGTTGATCTTCTGTTAATGAAAATGGCAATATTTCCTGCCCAGAGTAGCTCTTACTGTCCCTTTTCAAGTGGGTTTGGGTTTCTACCTTCAGAGCATTATTCAACGCAGAGAGGTAATGTAGCTTGGTGGAAGAAACAGACTTTTGTATCACCAAAATTAGCCTCATTAATTGCTTGATGTATGACCTCAGGCCAGTTTCTTACCCTCTATGAATTTGGATTTCAGTGTCCTCATCTGTAAAATGAGTCTAATACACACTTATTAGGGCTGTTAGAGGATTTAACGAGATGGATTCAAGGAGATGGTACTTAGTAAGTGCTTGGTAGTAAGAAGGTCATTATTGTGTTTTAGAAGAGAAATGTGAATGAACAGGCAGAAAGGAGGGATACAGATTGTTGACTAGCAAGAGTTAACTTTATCACTCTGGGAGGTGTCTTGCTGAAAATTTCAACATGCTGACAATAGCCAATGGAATAGGTGTGTGTGTCTTTGCAAACAAAACATGTAGGTGCATGTCTTCATGCCTCGGCTGGCTGCTGCAAACACTGATTATAGCTTAAGAACCAGAAAATAAATGTGTTTTCATTTGGGTGTTGAGGGCAAGCTTCTGATACTGCTTCTTAGCTGTGGCAGACACTAACAATTTGGGGGGTTCACACTTTACTAGACACCAATCACCTTTTACGTACGTATGTATGTATGTATGTATGTATGTATGTATGTGGGTAAGGTCACTGCCCTTGCTGGAAAATTGTAGATGATGCTATTGTTATCAAACTGAGCCAGGGTTTTCTGGGCCACAAAATGGGTCTGTATATCTGGATGATATGATTCTTTGTCATACACTAGACTTATTCTTCACCTACTGGTATTCTTTCTGCCTTATTTACTTCTATGGACAATGTTAGCCCATTAGTGCTATGACTAAGAGAGTGGAGTGTGAGGCTCTATGGATGGCTGTCTCCATATATTGTAACAGAAGGAGCACAGAGTTGACTGGGAGGCCCTGACACCAGCTCTGCCACTTACCAACTATATGACACGGGCAAGCCCCATCGGCTAACTGCTTTGCAGCTTGGTGTCCTCAGCCTACCACGCAGATGTGTTGTGATCCTCCAAAGGAAGGGCAAAAGAAAAAGTATTCTGAAGTGTCTTAAATATTCTGCACTTGGGGGTGTTATCATTAATTTCCTTCTTACCACATATTTCATGGCTAAGAGAGAGACCCCAGCTACTTAGGCCAGAGCCTGATAAGTTCTTGCATTTCCTCTACCCAGCCCCATTACTAAAATGGGAATTCCAGTTGGATGGTAAGGGCAAAGTGTAGAATTCAAGCCGCCTAGTCCTTAGGCTAGAGGTCAGGGGGTCAGCAATCTCTGCTTCATTTTCCCCAAAGGCCACACAGGGGTTTTTCAGGATAGCAACAAAGTCTTTTTAATCTAATTTTTCCCCTAGCTAATGAGAATTTGGACGTGGCCTTCTTGAAGATTCCCAAGTGCACATTTAACTCTGCATTTTCTTGCACTCCACAATTACACCTTTTTCTCCAGAATTATATTTTGAGTGCCTACCGCATACCAGACACAGCATCTCTGGAGATACTGTGGTAAAAGTGTCAACTGAACTCCCTACCCTCTCAGACGTATGGTCTAGTGAGAACAGCAGGTGCAGAATATCCCCTTAAATGGTCCCAGGTATCTTAATCCCCACTTCTCCAAAGGTGGACTCCTCAACTTCCATCCAAGACTCTTCTTCCCCTAGGTTTCCTCAGGTCAGTGAAGAGATCCACTCAGTTGCCCAAGCAAGAAACCTGGGAGTCATCCTTCATAACCCTCTCTGTCTTACCCACAAATTTGATTCTAGCACTAAGTTTTATTCTTTTTACCCTCTAAACTCTCTCTCAAATCTATCTTCTCCATGTCTTTTCCTGCCATGAACATAGTCCAAGTCACCGTTATTTCTCTCCTGGAGGTCACAACCTCCTCACTGGGTTCTGTGTCTCTGGCCTTGATGCCTTATCCCCTCCCTTCCTATATGTGCAGAGTTGATATTGCATGGATTTTGACAAGTTCCTTTCCCTTTCTGGGCTTCAGCTTCTCTGCCCTGAACTGGATGATTTCCTAAGTCTTATACAGCTCTCTTTTATGTGGCTCTGTGATCAGATGGTTCTTGATTACACTCTGGTACAGCTATCTAGGCTTCCAATGAAGGTATTGCTGTACCTGGCCACTGGCTTCTCAGTGTGTATATTCATTCATTCATTTCTCCATTCATTCAGCATTTACTGAGGTCCCATTGTGTACTAGGCACTGTACTTAGTACAAGTGATTCAGTGAGGAAAAAGACACAGGACTTGCCCCCAAGGAGCTCAATCTGTTGGGGATATAGGCACAAACAGGCAACCTAGCCCATACTGTAGGGTGGGGGCAATCATGGAAGGCTCCCTGGAGGAGCTGATAACTTTATTGGAGTTTGAATGATAAATAGGAGCTAACCAGGAGAGCAGAGATATGTACAAAGGCCCTGGGGCAGGATGCTAAGAGAAAGTAAAGCAAGATTGGAGGTTGGCAAACCAACTAGGAGGCTGTGGCAACACTGTAGGGGAGACATGAGGAAGACCTGAAAGAAGACCATCAAGATAGAGAGAAATGGGCAGGTTTGAGTTGTATTTTGGAGGTGGAATTGACAGTCCTTGCCGGTGGATTGGATGTGGAAGATGAGGGAAAGAGAGAAGTCATGGGGAATCCTTGGGCCTCTGGTTTAGTCAACTTTGTGGATAGACTGTTATTTTCTGAGTTAGTTCCATTAACTCAAGAGGAAGGAGCTGGTTTGGGGAATGGGTTTAAGGAGAAGATGATGAGTTCAGCTTTGGTCATGTTGAGTTTGTGATGGAATATTCAAGTGGAGAGGCCTGGTAAGCCATTAGCTATAAGAACCTGGCACACTGAGAAGAGAAATTGGGGCTGGAGGTTCAGACTAGGGAGTCATTAGCATGTAGAGGAAATTCTTTTAAGAGAACGAGCCCAAGAGAGCAAGGGCACCAACACTGAGTAAGGGGGGAAATGCTCTCCACAGATGTGGGACACTGACATACATGCTCGTTCATTCCTGGGCACACATCTCTGCCCCAAAGAGAGTTTCTCCATGATATGTGTGCATCACCCACTTAAACTTAAGAGAAGGAACATTAGGTACCCAATCATAACTTCTCCATTTTACCATGAATGATACCTAAAGAGGAAAGAGAACTTATACTTTCATGCCAGTTGTTTTCATTAACTCACTTATATGCTTACAATAATTTACACCAGAGCTATTATTCCTCAGAGCCCTAGAGTCACTTGCCCAAGGTCACATAGCTATTAAATGGCAGTAATGAGATTTGACTCCAGATCTTTCTGATTCCAGATCCAGCACCATGATACCAGGTAACAGCACCGAACAACCTCTGCTGTATAGCTGGATCCTTAGGAAAGCCTGGGCACACCCCCTCTTCCCTTCTGCTTCACAGATATCATTTGCATCCCCTAGCTTAATGCTTTGCTCTCCATTAAAATACAAATCCCCTTAGGGAGAAGTAAAGCTCTAAGTTGTTGTCAAGTCATTTATGCCTCAGTGGGAATGAGTTTCAGATTCTTCAGTAGGCATAAATTTTAATTTTATGGGAGAAGGACACTGGAAACTTCAGGGAGGTATAAGAAGAGAGAAAGGGCCTAGTAATGAAAAGTCAGCTCTCTCTGTTTCACAATCCTACCTAGTCTGAGGCATGTGCTTTTAAGATTTGTAGATACTATTTCTGTATATGTGTACTAAATAGTCTCCCTTTATCCATGGTTTCACTTTCCACAGTCAACCATGGTCCAAAAGCAGATGATCTCCTGACCATAGGTCAGAAGGTCAATAGTAGCCTAACCCTACATCACAGTGAGTACGTCATTGACCTCACTTCATCTCATCATGTAGGCATTTTATCATCTCACGTCATCACAAGAAGGGTGAGTACAGAACAGTAAAGATATCTTGAGAGAAACCACATTCACATACCTTTTCTTACAGTATATTGCTATACTTGTTCTATTTTATTATTACTGTAAATATTTTACTGTGCCTAGTTTACAAATTAAACTTTATCCTAGGTATGTATTTACAGGAAAAAAGATAGTATATATATGGGATTTGGTACTACCTGCAATTTCAGGAATCCATTGGGGGGTCTTGGAATATATATCCGTAAATAAGAAGGGACTACTGTCCTTTATATGCAGACCCATTGCTGAGTCTGTCACCCTGGTTATCTGGGGTTGGGGATGTGGGTGTGGTGTGATCTAAGGTGACCTTTAGCTGCATACTAACCCCAACATACTGTGGTCAGCAGGAGGCAGCCAGCCTGGGCTTCAGTCAGGAACTGCAGTTCCTGGCCTCAGGCATTCTCTTGAGTCCCAGTTCATTCTCTTGAGAATTAGACCCTGCTGTGCATATTTAAAATCCCGAGCAGATGGAGGCAGGAGAGTTGTTGGAAAGACTTGGAGGAGTCCCTTCTGCCCTGTCTCGGTCTGTTTGCCAAAATAAATGACATGTATCAGGGCAGGGCATTGGTCCAAGCCCATTGAAATTCTGCTAGCAGTCCAAACAGTGATGGTGTTTCAGATTGGTTCTGTGAAATGATCAAAGTTAGGAAGAGAGAAATGATGTGTGAGCATCTGGTTGCTGCAGCCTACTGATGGGGACAGTCCCAGGGGCGGGCCTGGGTAAGGGGGGGCAGCCTCAAGGACCCCCTAGGACATCTGCCACTGGCAAACAGGGAAAGATCCACACACTGGCAGCAGGCAGTCTGGTTTGAGTCCCATGCTGTTTTCCTCACCAGCTATGTGACGTGAACAAGTCCTTCCCCTTCTCCAGGCCTGCCCCCCACCCCTTATATAAAATAGAACCTAGATGAAATGGTCTCCAAGGACCCTTTCTGCTCGAACATTCTGTGACTTCTCTGACACTGGTTTGATTTTATTTGTGGTGAGAGAGGCCCACCCACCTACCTGCTTATCTGTAGCTACAATGTTCTCACACTGACCTCTGCTGGCCATTTTGAAAAGTGCCACCGATAGCTTCTTGGGAGGAAAAAAAAAAGCAGTTCATCATTATTGATTTAGTATTAAGCTTCAACAATATGCTGGGCGCTGCGACAGAAACCCTGTGTACTGGAGACGAGCAAAAAAGAACACATAGCTGTAAGCACAGAATAAGCATATCTAGAGATGGCTGACAAAACAACGCACAAAAGAAACGTGTCTCCACCCCCCCCCCCACTTTTTTTTTTGGCCACCTT